ATTTGAATGATGAATGAAAGGAAAACTTTAACTGGGACAGTTCATATGGTTCACATGTAACCGGCAAGACATATGGCGAGGGAAACAAATCCAAAAAGCACGAATGTTTGAAGGATATTCAACAACGGGATGAGGGAGAAGCAAGAAGAAGTTCATGGGATAAACCAGACGATAAAATAAGGTTGCAAAACTTAATTTGGCACATTTAAAAATCATATTTCTTTTTTTTTTCTAGTGAAACAGATATATGAACTTCACATTTTAACGGTACAATATGCTCATTCATATTGCATTTTTCAAGAAAACTTGCTTTTGTGTAAAAAGGATTTCACCACTGAACTGGTCATCTGGCATTCCTAGGGTCATCAACTTTTGCCAGTCATTTTCAGTGATGTTTTTGTTTAACTAGAAGTGGAAGTGTGCACTGGTTATTGTATACTTGTATCAGTTTATTTTAGTGGAAAGTCCCAGTAATAATTAGTGATACTCTGTTCTCTGTGCCGTTATAGGCCTACGTTTCTTCTCGTTAAGTTTTCTTATGCAGGCAGCAACCTTTAGACCGTCATAATTGTTTGCATGCGTGGCCTGAGGATTTTTCTGCTAAGGGATTCAATTTACAAAGATACAAAAATAACGATGCAGGGGTGATCGGCCTTATTCATCCACGAATCATTTCAGCCATCTTTATTTTCCCGCGGCTTTTTGCATTTTGAGATTATGATGTGGTTCTACCNCCTCAAGTAAGGAAATTTTCAAATAATCTCTCACATACTCCAGATTTTCCAACATTCTTTGCCCCTGCAGCTTGTGGGATAAAGGAAGCCAAAAGTGGTCGAAATAAAGCCTGATCTGAGGTTCTGAAATCAATGACCAGGAAACGCGGACATATGGGCCAACTCAAGCTTTCTGGGATCAGTCATGCAGCTGAGCAGAGACCAAATGGGTGTCGTAAATGACAGTGATGCATCACGAACGACTAATCAAAAATTTAACTTCACTGCATCCCATTTCGTAAACTACGTACCATTTCGAGCTTTCCGATTTCTCCTCCACCCATCCGTGCAAACGGTTTGACGAAATACAGTAACCAAATCCGCAGTATGTATGTGCAAAGTGAATGGTTGTTTGAACTGAAGTTATTCAACAATCACTGGCACTCTTTCCCTGTCTGCTTATCTGTTATGTCAAGGTAATGAAATTTTTTAAGCTTTTTAAGGATAACATCCACAGAAAACAACGGAATCACTGATTATAAAACCGATTTACGATATATTTTGGACGTTCTACCAATTAAAATCTCCGCATCAGTCGATTTGATCGGAATGTCATCTTCGTAGTCAACTTTTGAGCAATAATCATCAAGTTCAGGACTCTTGTCGGTTTCAAGGTGTATGGATGAAATTGTACTTTTATTTGAATTAGGTAATCACAAATTATTCATTGTGCAATGATAGAATTTGAATGACCTGTGATGTTAGAAGGTAATCACGTTAGCATTTCAAATTGCAAGAGATTCATTTCTTTGACCTCTACGAAGTTCCTGTACACAAAAGACAAACTGGAAGTAAAACATAAATTAATTTAAATGCATAGGAACAAAAAGAACTCCAGTGGTTATAATCTTCTTTGCCTTTTATACTTATTCGCTTTGCATTAGTCTCTGAATGTGGTGGCCATGAAGGCCTATTTTATATAACGTTCACCGGCACACTGAGAACCACATCCAAGTGACACCAACTACTCAAAACTGCTTCATATGACGTTCATTCCGGGCTGCAATACACTTTTCCATATCAGTGCAGGTTTGCTCAGAGCAAACGATGAAGCAGTGCGGTCTGCGTCCGCACCGTGTTGAACTTCACATGGTCGAGGGAGGAGATGATCCGAGGTTGAGCTTATCCAGCAAACAAACATACACCCACACACACAAACACGCACACAGGCTTACACGGACGTACAAATTCGCACGACTTATCCGGGAACGCACACGAACCGCACGTGTTGATTGGTTCGTGCTGATGACCGATGCCGTTGAGAATTTCGCTCTCTTACAAGTCGTCTGCAAAACGGAAACAAATTTTTACAGGCTTGCATGCATGCATGAATGTATATGCGTGCACGCGGACGAATGAAGCTCGACCGAATGAGTTTCGCATGAAGCCATCCCAGACCGATCGTGCAATAAATGTCTACACATCCACAACTCCGAATCACCTTAATCGTGCACAAACACACATAAACACAAATTCGGCTCATTCTGTCCAGTTCTTGGTCTAGTTGTCCCGTGGAATCAGAGGACGATCACATTGCTTCGGATAGTGAGATCGGATCCGGACCCCGAAGAGTGAACGTACTCTATAATCACAACTAGCCGCTATGTTACCAAACATGTCGCATCCCTACACGGGGAGCAGTAACGGTGGTGGTAACACCGCAAAGGTTTTGCATTATATACGTGATCCGGACGATGTGCCTCATGTGCCATACGGAGCAAATACGACTAGTGTGATACAAACCAACATCGGGGATACACGTGCGGTATCCACTCCGTACTATCCTTCCTATACGGGCCCAGAAATGGCCCATTCAAGCTCAATGCCACCCGTACCGGGACACTTTCAAGGGTCTGTGAATCCCGCGGTTGGACCGGATCTGTATCCCTATCCCTCTCATCCGGATATGTGCTCAGCCCAACCGAATTACACAAGTAAAGTGTATGCAACAAAACCGATCGGAACGGGACAGGATATAAAACAAGAGAAACTGACAATTGTGTCCGAGTCCAGGGATTCAGATCCAATGATATCGTCCCAATTGGTCGTCATCGAACCTGAGGAAAGCAAGAATCCAACTGACGGGGCTGTTGGTGGTGGTGGTGCACCGGGTGAACCAGAGCCTGATGTGGTGGTCACTTTTGATAAAGGGAAGACTCGAGAGACGTGGGATACAAAGGTGGACTTTTTGCTCGCTGTGATTGGATTTGCTGTGGACTTGGGTAACATATGGCGATTCCCATTCATTTGCTATCGGAACGGCGGAGGTAGGTTTATTACATTCATAGAAACAAATTGTTGTTCGGATGATCATTTGCATCCTAGACAGATTTCATCTCTGTGTTCCTCTTGCTTTCCATGATTGATATAATGACGAACTACAGCCAGTTATCTCTTGTAAAACGCGTTTTAGTCCACTACGCAAAGCGGAAAATTGATCCCAGATTACAACAAATAGGATGGATTGTTGAGAACATAACAAAACAGTTCATTTTTCATTTTTGGGATGATCTTATTCAGTCCTAGTCAAGTTTTTACTCACTTTATTGGTAAAGAATAAAACAGCCTCCAAAGTTCTCTCACCGGTTTTGTTGTGCGTCAATCATAAATCCAGATCAGACTGGATTGAACAAAGTTATGTCATAGTACTTAAATATACAACCATATCGGTCTGCAGGCCATGTGTTCGAAACCCACCACTGACTGTCCTTTCCTCTTTTCATTATGTCACCAGGGAACCATCGAGTAGTCACACCTTCACTCTTGAAAGTCAGTAACAACATTATGTAGTTTGTAAATAGAAGGAAGGAATCATTCGTATATTGTTCGCACAAAAACACAAGAAGAAATGATATTAAGCATGTTTCAGACACTCACGTGTTTTGGGTACACAGATATTGGCCGATTTTGATGAAATGAACCAATGTATCACTGATAGACTTTGTGCTACAATACGGGAACTCTAAATACATTTAAGCGGTGAAATTTTGAATCTGGATCACACAGAAGGGTTCATAAGCCAGGCTTCAAGTGGGGCTCTTCTCTAGTGTTCCAAAACACTCAAATGGCTTATGCTACTGGACCGCGTATACAGTTCTAGTGACAGCTGACTTGATCCTCATGCGGTAGCAACTACATATTTATTGAAATGACAGATATTGATCAAACTCGTACGGCATGACCCTCAATTTAGCAAGATATTTCATTTTGATTGTCACTCATGCATTTCGGTTCCTATGGCTCAAGAGCATTTATCCCGGACTTTATCTCACACTGCAATGCCATTAGTTCTCTCTTATCACTCTCAGGATTGTCGCGATCTTGCATGTCATGACTAATAAACTTAAAACTAAACACGTGGATACTATCACAGTTATGTTGTGTCTGATATGAGGCAATACCATATTCAGTCCTGTCAGTGAGGTTCGAAACGCTAGACAATGAGCGGAAAAGATCTGAAAAAAGCCAGTGTTGCATGCGATCAATCAATACCTGTAATTTTATTTAGTTTATAAATTTACCGAAACAGGATGGTACTGATTCCAATAAAACAGCTTTCATTGTAATGACGCTCGGAAGGAGAGGGGAGGTGGTTTCTCACATGACATTTTTTATCAAAAAATCTTTTAAATATCCATAGTTTGACAGAATTCCGTTTCCGGATAAGAAGTACCAGTTGGGTCAAAGGTCTTTGAATATTTTTGAACGTGATTAAACAAATAATCAGATTTAGTTGCAAATTTCACGGGTTTACTTCTGAATCCATACCAAATCGTAGTTGATAACCAGTTGAATTTGTCAGTCATTATTTTGTCCCTGTAGATTGATCATTAAATATTCAATAGGGCCCACCTCGAAATTATTTTGTGATTTGATCGGAAAACTTCAAGACAATTGTTCTATCAATAATTACATAACAGAATAAGAGCGAAACTTGGACTCTGGTGACAACTTGGACCAAGAGCATTTTGCGGAATGTAATGGTGCAAGAATTTGTGCATTTTATGTGAACTTTTATGGGACGAACAACAACTAAAAGTTGTGACTCAGGTTAGATTTATGATGTTGCACAGTGAAAAAGGCAAACGCACAACTTGTTCGTTCGCGTTTCCCGGGACCCCGAACATAGTGAATCGTTTAGTTGACTAGAACTATTGATGAAAACAAGTACTGATTCGGCTAAAACGTATTGGCGGTCGATTGCGTCATTCCAGAACAGGTCATTCCTATTTGTTCACTGGAGCCTATGTGATTCAGGACTGTGATTGGAAGGTCACTGTGTTTCATTAGTGTCGTGGGCGAATTGAACTGGCACTATTCCTTGTATGGGCTTATTCACGTACACCGCAACACAGTGATTACCTTAAGTGATAAATGAACTGTATTTCTAGCAATCAAAATTCTTTCAACAATTCGTATCAGGTGTGAGCAATTTACTCGGCGAAATACGAAGCCGGAAACACATTGCTGAGTAGAATTCTCAGCTGTGTTTCAGTTCCACGTTTACCCGACAAAACTGTGTCTAATGCTAAAGCGTGATCTCAATTCACATATCTGTCCATTTGCCCGCATGAATGGTTTGTTTGTCTGTGGTGAGGTGAGCCTACCGTTTTGTGTTAAATTTTCGTTGCTCGTGAAAAAAAGGGTCAATGTAGTCAGTCGATGCAAGATGGACCCAACGGATGATGACAAAACAGATTGGGTCTGGATGAACAAGTCCGTCTTGAGTGTTCGTGAAACATACGAAGAATTCACTCCTCTTATTCCGTATAGTATTCATCCATACCAAGCAGACCTCGTGTTTCCACGACTTTCATTGTTCTGAAGTGCACATTACTGGCTAAATCATGGTTGACTGAAGATGTGCAAATGACTGACGAAGTTGTTTTCTACCCCCATGAAGAAAATAAACATGAAAAATCAATTTTGCTGGACAAAAATGAAAGCTTCTCAANTCAATATTATAGCACATCACTGCGACAATCCCCTAAATTTTTGTCGCTTTTGAGATACTGGGTTCGTACTTTTTGTGACCGTAAGCGGAATGAATGTTTTGCGGTTGCTTTCTCCGTTGATAATCCAGTATATTCAATCGGGACAATGTAGCCCCCAATTATTCCAGGATTGTGAGAACTTGGCATGACAAAACATTTCCACAAAAATGAATTTACAAATGAGGGCCTGTTCTAAAGCAGTCCAGAACTCCAGATTGGACGGCATTAGTTTTTCTTACGGAACCGACTGAAGTCTTTTGATTACACTCACCAGCCGTATGCTCTAAATAAACCGGAAGAAAATGACATAATTGCATCGCAAAACATCGCCAATGAGACATGAAGGTTTATGCGGGTCTGATGAAGCGAACTAATAGATGTGTTGAGGGCGAAAGATAGTGCTTTGGAGTCTAACTCTGGCCGTTAAGGAGTGTTACGGATTCAATAACCAAAGGGAAATCCGTTTTCTTCTCCGAATACATGAACCGATTTCATTCACACGCTATTCGCTTTTTAGGGTACGATCAACCCAACATCCTGCTACCCGTCTTACTCCTGAAGTAAGGAATGTTAATTATGAGTGATTGGTTTACCTGTTAATTGTGTGAACTTGCTTAAGTGAACGTGCATACTAAACGGAAACCCTAGACTTTTGAGTCTAAATGGATAAAACGATCGTTTACAAACCTCGTTACAGACATCATCTATGTAGTGATACCATAAAAATTATGTAAATAAGCTATCCAACAAAGGGTTTATATCACTCCTTGCGGTTACTTTCACTCCAATAATCTTTTTTCCTGCACACCCATTAGTACTTCTCTGAACTAAGCTGGGCGTTTGAAGACAAGCATTGACCTCTCATTTCTCAACCCCTTAGTCACTGGTTTCTCCCTTGACCCAATTCTTTCTACCCTGAACCGACCTGGTGTGCAGAAAAGGATATTTTTCACATTTGAAGCGGTCTGATTTTCTCTGTGTCAGGAATAAGACGACTGAATTCTTCGGATGTCTCAGACGTGACGAGTTCATCTAGACCAAATCTGTTTTGGCATCGCTCGTTTAATCTATCTTGCAACGACTGACAACTCTGACCTGTTTTTCACGAGCAGTGTGACGTCAACTCAAACCGGTCGGCTCACCCCACAACAGACACGACACAGGTGTATGGATGGGTTTGTGAGATGTGGTCGCCCATTATCATTTGACACATTTTCCTCAGATAAAAGTGCAAATGAGCCGCAGCTGAAAATTCTACTCAACGGTGTGTTTTGGTCTCAGGCCTTCACCTAGTTGTTATACCATTTCAGGCTGCAGGTCTTAGCGAAATCAAGACCGAAATTGGAAGGGAGTGTAACAACCAGATAATAATGCAGTGGATAACGGTGTTCTTTGATTTTATGGTGACTCGACCGGTTTGTGAATCAAAACATCTGAGTTACACTCATCGCGAGACGGCCCTCGCACACACGACACCTATTGATGAATAAATGTGGCGATGCGGCACTCACTAAAACAATCTAATTGATGATCTCATTCGGAACCACGCCATCACACACACAT